CAAGGATGAAGGAGGAAGATTGGAGAAGACGCCTTGGAACCTTGCTTGGAGCAACCTTTATGAATCCCTCTCATAAACTCTCCCTCACAAGTTCCTCCCTCTCTCTTCCTCTCTCTCCCTCTCCTCTTGGCTCCCTCAGGTCAAGACAGTAGCTAAAAGTTTATTTGCATGAGAAAATTTGGGTCCTTTAAATAGAATTTCAAGAACCAACATTATCGTCTAGGACGATAGGAATATCATCCTGGCCGATCAATACAAAATAAGTTCAATAAGATGGGATGATTTGGGACGATTAGAAGAAAATTGGTTACATCGTCCAGGTCGATACAATATCGTCCTAGTCGATTAGTTCAAATCCGAGTAAAATCGTCCTAAACATCACCCGGAATAGATGATGACCAATGTCAATCATCCAGGACATCATCCCGGCCAATCCTGCGATCGGCCGGACCGATGTGATCGTATCAATTAGCCTTAATTGCTTTCTATAATTACCAGATTAATTTAGGCATAATTACGCTGCATCATCCAGGCTGATGTATAGATCGGCCTGGCTGATGTCCTGAAATAAAGAATACCTAAATTGATCATGGAGAATGATTCTTTCTGATTTGATCCTATCGTCCTAGCTGATACAAGGATTATCCATGATGATTTACTTAATGGTGGCTGCTTAACTAGGATGCCCTAATTAGGGTTTATGTTTTTAGTCTGATCGTCCTGGCCGATATGAACATGGCCGATGTACTCAAAATAAGAAAACGCAGAAAACCCCTCAAGTGTGTGTGCAAGGTTACTTAGTATCAGAAACCACTTTTACAAATGACTCATGAAAAAGAAAAATATTACAGACTGACTCCAACTAAATCTACCCAATCTTGAGTTGGTATTGAGTTGTGTTCAATCTTGTGGACCTGAAAAGTTAGTAGGCAAGGCAGTCGTAGAAAAATATGAATGCTTGCTATCATCAAAAGTCTAATCCATAATCTCATATTCGCAATAATCTCCCCCTTTTTTATGATGGCAAACACAATCAGAAAAGTTCAAGCAGTTATGAAAGTTTAATGGAAGCAGTGTAACGAAAAAGCAATTTACTAAATTCCAAAATTAGAGTATATGGTACAAGAGACTACTCCCCTTTTTGAGATCACAAAAGGAGGAGAAAAACAAAAACAAAGCAAAAACAAAAAATAGAACAGAAACTAAAACAAGCTACAGAAAAACTAGCAAAGAAACAAAGTATTTTTTTTAAAAAATCAAGGCATGAATGTGATATAGTCTTCCATGTGATTGAATTTAAAAATTTATAAGTTAATGAGTTAACAACTTCAAAAATCCAAAAAATGATAAAATATTCAATCATGTTAACCCTAAGCTCGGACTTATTTTAGGGTAAAATCGTCTTTTGAAATCAAAAGGCCTAACTCAGAAAAGATATTAATTGGATAAGCAAAAGAGATCCGATCAAGACTTGGTTTCAGAAAAATATCTTATAGAATAGTATATAAAAGTAGTGTGTTACAATCATGAAATTTGAAATCAAGTCCTTGAAAATCTCAAGTGATACATGAAATCTTCTAAGTATTAAGAGTCGGAAGAAAGGAAGATAGCTTGCTTTTTTATGGGCTCATTTAATGCCTCTTGTCTATTGAATGACGCACTTTGCGCATCTTTTGATTTTTGATACACTTTGTGTATATATATATATACATTAATTTGGCGTCATTGCGCATCTTTTGCTTTTGGCATCATTGGCCACTTTTTTTTATTATTATTCTTTTGCAAGATAGATTATTTTCCAAAAACTCTTAAATATTCTTAGTTGTGAGTATATCTTCTAGATATTAGAGAAGAAAAACACACTCTCTAATATAGGGAAGAATAAACCACAAAATAGAATAAAAAATCATATGAGAGATGCATTAACAGGATAACAAGAAATCTTGAAGTAACATAAAGACTTTGACTATTATAATATAAGATAGATTACTGTAGCAAGGTAGAAAAGATCTCAATTGCAAAACTCAGTTGTTAATTTGAGATGGACTTTTTGTTTAGAAAAGAAATTTTCACCACCAAAATAGGTTAGAGAAAGAGACACAATCAACGGTGTTTTTACCCTTTAACAGATTAAGAGATGTAAAACATTGACTACAAATTTTCAAAAAGACAAAAACAAGGCATATGATATCAATTCAGCGATAATATAGAAAAAACAAATTAAGGCATACGAAAAATTAAAGTACCAAAAAACAAAGAGAACATAAAAAAAAATAAACAACAAAAAAAAAATCTAACAAAAGATAAAGCAAAGTAATCAGTAGATAATAGATAAAAAATCAGTAGAGATGAAGTTCATGCATTAATGTCAATCACACCCAATCTTATCCTTAAAGTGCTGAAAGTGTCGAAGGCCAGTGGTTTAGTAAATATGTCAGCCAGTTGATTCTCAGTCTCCACATGGTTTAACTCAATGTCTCCCTTAGTCACATGGTCTCTAATAAAGTGATGTCTTATATCGATGTGCTTAGTCCTTGAATGTTGGATAGGATTCTTAGAAATGCAGATGACACTAGTGTTGTCACAAAAAACTGAGATGGTGCCTACAGGTAATCCTAAATCCAATACTTACTATTTTAACCAAAGGACTTGGGCCACACAACTTCCTAAAGCAATGTACTCGGCTTTAGTAGTGGAAAGAGCAATAGAGTTTTACTTTCTACTAGGCCAGGAGATTAAAGACTGTCCTATGATTTGACAAGTTTCAGAAGTGCTTTTTCTATCCACCTTACATCATGCAAAATTAGAATCAGAATATCTAATAATCTCAATAGAAGTGCTGTGCCTGGGGTACCAGATTCCTAAGTTTTGGGTCCCTAAAAGGTATCTAAGAATTCTCTTAACTCCAATCAGATGGGATTTCTTAGGATCAACTTGAAATCTAGCACAAAGATAAACACTGAACATTATATCAGGTCGACTAGCAGTCAGGTAAAGTAATACTCCCATGTCCTCAGAAAACTACTATTCGGTATTGTTTTTTATTTTCTCAATTATCTTGATAGTTCAAATTCGGAGCATGTGATTTCGCCTACGCAATTAATCGCTTCATTTGTCTTAATCGTCGTTTGAAGATTGCTTATAATTTTATTCTGAAATTATTCTAATTCAATAGTTGTGCAATGCTCAAATGAAACCATAACCATAGCATCTAAATTAGTCCTGCATCATCTGGTATCAGAGCATGGTTTGCTCTAGTTTTGCATGCTAGACATCATCCTAGGAGTTGTTTTACTAGTTTTATATGTTGTGCACGCATGCTATCATTTAAATTAGTTTAATTACATTTTATGCTTGTTGTCCACTGTTTTCCTGCATGCATTTAGAGGTTGTAAGCTCATTTATCAATTGTTCAAGTGCTGTCCTTAACCTAGCCACTTCACTAGTTGTCTAGGTTGCTTAGGCCCTCCTTGTAGTTTGTTGTCCCTGAGTTTCCAGCACCATTTAGGGTCCCCTTAGAGTGTTTTCCCCTGCTCTAGCTTGTTGTCCACTTCCTAGGAAACCCTCCAAGTACCCCATTGTGTTTAGGAATGGACCCGGAACAACTAGGAAGGACCTTAGACCTCTTGGTAGGCCAAATGAATACTATTAGCCAGCAACTCAAGGAAAACCAGGCGGATCTAGCTGAGCTTCGTAGGAACACCACTGAGAGATTCGATACACTTGAGCGAACTAGAGACCACCCTACTCCTTACACCCCATCTAGACCCACTTCTAAGTATGGGAATGAAACCTACATGGATGAGAGGCGACATCGGGCTAATCACCGAGCTCACTACCATGGACATGATCCACGTCATGATCCTGATTTAGATGAAAGGCATCACCGGGCCAATCATCGTACTACCTACCAAGTCCATGATCCCGATGCACCACTAATGAAGAACACTAAGATTGACGCTCCTACCTTTGATGGCACCCTCGATCCCCAGCTCTTCCTGGACTGGGTCAAAGGTATGGACAATTTCTTTAAGTGGTATGCCATTTCTGAGGCCAGGAAGGTTAGCTTTGCTGCTATGAAACTTACGGGTAGGGCGAGTCAGTATTGGGCGAACTTAGAGAGTCTTAGAGAAGATAGAAATGAGTACCCTATTGTAGACTGGCTATCCATGAAGCGGGAACTCAAACAAAAGTACTTGCCACCCTCGTACTTCCCTCGACTATTGGATAGGTGGAATAGGCTGACTCAAGGCAATAAACCAGTTAAGGAGTACATCGCCTCCTTTGATGACTACCTGATTCAATGCAAAGGGGAGACCTCTACCACCCCCGCACAAATCTTGTCTATGTTTCGAACCGGGTTGCGAGAGGATCTTCGCAATGAGCTGTTTGCCCGGAACGTCACTACCCTGGAGAATGCCTACAGCCTAGTGCTTGACTTAGAGGAGACCCGTTCACAGCACCCGATCCGTTCACATGACTCTAGGCATTCCTATAGACCTTCTGGTAGTTCCACCCCTCACACCCCCACTGCCCAGCCGACCCCAGGGAGCAACACCCGACCCTCGTCTGGTCCCCCTACTCCCCGTCCTGATGTTAGAGGTAAGCCTCCCACTCCTGATACCCATCGATCTAACCCCGGGACCAAATGCTTTAGATGTCAGGGGTATGGGCATATTGCCTCTCAGTGCTCTAGTCCATATAAAGTCACGATTATTGAAGAGATCACTGAGGCTGAATTCGATCCCGAAATCGACCAGATTCACCAAGTGGACAATGATGGTGAATTCTTTAAGGAGGAGGATGACACTGCTGTCATCTAGTACATTCAGAAAATTGACACTCCTCCCACCTGCGTGGCGAGATGTGCACTGTCACAACCCGTTACCACCGACGACTGGCGTAGAACTACGATCTTTCACACCTACACTAAAATCAAGGATAAGAACTGCAAAGTCGTCGTGGATAGTGGCAGCTGCATCAATGCTGTCTCCTCCAGCATGGTGTCTAAGCTTGGTCTGTCTATCTTTCCCCACCCCAACCCCTATAAGGTAGCTTGGGTCAACACCACTGCCTTGGAGGTGAAGGAACGAAGCCACGTGCCCATCTCCTTTGCCACTTATAAGGAGAATGTCTGGTGCGATGTGTTGGTTATGAATGTTGGACAAATCCTGCTAGGTCGCCCCTGGCTTTTTGATAACGATGTCCACATCTCTGGTCGTTCAAACATCTGCGTGTTTGAACATGATGGTAAAAAGATCAAACTTTTTCCATCCCAACCTCGGGTTTCGGATGATCCTGAAGCCAACCCTGTCAAAGCCAAGAAGGGACTGAACCTGATAGCCGCCATAGCCCAGAGCGTGCCTTTACACACCTTAGTCGTTCGTGAGACTCCCACTGAGTTTGACGAATCAGTCCCTCATGAGAGTCAGCTCATACCTAGTGGATTTGTTGAGATCCATCCTGATGGTCTTCCCGATCCTTTATCCCTGATTAGAGGCATTTCATATGTTCTAAATCTAGCCCATGGAGCCTCCCTATCGGATCGTATTCCATGTGGTCTCAACTTCCTCGATTCAGTGAATTTTACTCTTGGTCTAAGTCCTTCTGAAATTGCATATGGGTTCAAACCTAGACAGTCGTTAGATCTGATACCCATGAGTTCTAGGTAAAGGATTTCTGAGTCTGCATCTGCATTTGTATCTCATTTGCATGAACTTCATAAAGGCATTGCACAACAAATTGAAAAGAATAATCAAGAATACAAATTACATGCAGATTTAAAATGTCAATTTAAAACTTTTGAGGTTGGTGATTTTGTTATGGTGCGGATTCGCCCGGAACAGTTCCCTCCAGGAACAGTTAAAAAATTACATGCAAAGAGTGTTGGACCTTTCAAGATCCTTAAGAAAATTAATGACAATGCTTATATAGTAGATATGCCTGCATATTTGAATATAAATCCCTCCTTTAACATAGAAGACTTAGTGGCATATGAAGTTCCTGATTTTAACCCACAAAATCCACTATCAAAACAGCCTTGTGTGAACCCAACCTGTGAGATCCCAAACCTACCTCCACTACCAAATATTCCCAAATTTCCTATAGCAGAGCGAGTGGAGGCAATCTTAAGTGATGAGATCATATCCACAAGAGAAGGAGGACGAAGAAGATATTTGATCAGGTGGAAAGGAAAGCCCGAGTTAGAGGATACATGGCTAGAGCGTGAGGAGCTGCAGCAGATTGACCCAGATGCACTTGAGATCTACGAGAGCGCCAGAGATACTTACTCGACGGAGTCGAGTTTTCTCCCACCCCGGGAGAATGATGGGGACATCAGATCATCATGGAGAGTTTACCAGCGACGTGGCCGCCGATCTACGGCCACGATTAAGTCGTTATATTTTTGAGTCGATGTATTTTGTTTTAATGCATTTTATTATTTGCTTATGAGTGTTATTTTATTTCCCTTTGTACCCCTTTTGTATGGGAATTGTAATGTGTAAGCCTAAGGGCAATTGTGTCATGTCAGTTAGAGTCTTTTATTTGAGGCTATTTAAAGCCCCTTTATTTTATTTTCAAGTGAATGAATGATTATTAAGAATTTTTCCTACACTTGTGCTTGAGAGCGCTTGAGAGTTCTTGGAGAGAACTTTGGAGAGAACCCTTGGAGAGGGAGATTGGCGCATCACCCACCAACCTTGGAGACGGCCGGGTTCGTGGTTTTCTTTATTTTTGTATTCTCACCTTCCCCTCGTCGAGCCTCTTCACCCTACTCCACCTTGCCGCCGGTTTCTCCACCCCACCCGACCACCTCTCCTCCCAAAACCCCTCGGTTTCCCCTTACCCGGAAACCCGCCACCCTCGTCCCCACAAACCGCCGGCCACCTTGCCCGGAATCCTCTCTAGCCGCCGGCCACACCCACTTCCCTTCCTCTTTTAGTTTCCTAATTAGGTTGAAGACTACTTGGGAAAATTCTGAAATTCAAAATCAATCAAGTTTGAATTTCAAAATCTTTCCTAATTTAAGTTACCTATTTTAGGAAAGTTTTAATTCATATCTATTTTCAAATTCTAATTCAAATTGGATTTGACTAAATACTTTCCTAAAGCCTAAAGCCAAATTAGGAGATCATAAATCCTCTCATTAATTGCCCCTATCACCATCTTTGCCACCGGCTCCCATAGGGATAATTAGGATTTATTTCTTATTCACCCAACTTCCACTATTGGAAATAAATTCAATTTCCCTCTCATACTTTGAACGTCAATTTCCTACAGCCCATGTCTTAAACTATTTCCTAAATCAGAACTTGGCATTAGGAAATAAAATTCCTCCCAATCCCTCGATCTTCTATGCATCCTACGTCTCATTGTTAGATTAGGGATTTAATTTGAAGCCTACTATTTGCGTTGTGTGATTTTCTTATTTATTTTGAAAGCTTCAAAGTTCTAAACATGTAATCTCACTTAAGCAAATCATTTCCTTAGTTGTTTTGAATCTTCGTTGAGAATTGCTAAGTAATTGTTTCCTGAATTTATTTTAATCTAAGCGTTGTGCAATGCCTAAATGACTACATAATCATCGCATCTAATTAGTCCTGCATCATCTGGTATCAAAGCATGGTTTGCTCTAGTTTTGCATGCTAGACATCATCCTAGGAGTTGTTTTACTAGTTTTATATGTTGTTGCACGCATGCTATCATTTAAATTAGTTTAATTACATTTTATGCTTGCTGTCCACTGTTTTCCTGCATGCATTTAGAGGTTGTAAGCTCATTTATCAATTGTTCAAGTGCTGTCCTTAACCTAGCCACTTCACTAGTTGTCTAGGTTGCTTAGGCCCTCCTTGTAGTTTGCTGTCCCTGAGTTTCCAGCACCATTTAGGGTCCCCTTAGAGTGTTTTCCTCTGTTGTAGCTTGCTATCCACTTCCTAGGAAACCCTCCAAGTACCCCATTGTGTTTAGGAATGGACCCGGAACAACTAGGAAGGACCTTAGACCTCTTGGTAGGCCAAATGAATACTATTAGCCAGCAACACTTCAAGATGTTTAATCGTCATTTAGGCAATGAATAAAACTAGTAAAACAACTCCTAGGATGATGTCTAGCCAGCAACTAATTTAGGCCAAATGAATACTATTAGCCAGCAACTCTTCATTTGTCTTAATCGTCATTTGAAGATTGCTTATAATTTTATGCTGAAATTATTCTAATTCAATAGTTGTGCAATGTTCAAATGAAACCATAAACATAGCATCTAAATTAGTCCTGCATCATCTGGTATCAGAGCATGGTTTGCTCTAGTTTTGCATGCTAGACATCATCCTATGAGTTGTTTTACTAGTTTTATATGTTGTTGCACGCATGCTATAATTTAAATTAGTTTAATTACATTTTATGCTTGTTGTCCACTGTTTTCCTGCATGCATTTAGAGGTTGTAAGCTCATTTATCAATTGTTCAAGTGATGTCCTTAACCTAGCCACTTCACTAGTTGTCTAGGTTGCTTAGGCCCTCCTTGTAGTTTGTTGTCCCTGAGTTTCCAGCACCATTTAGGGTCCCCTTAGAGTGTTTTCCCCTGCTGTAGCTTGCTGTCCACTTCCTAGGAAACCCTCCAAGTGCCCCATTGTGTTTAGGAATGGACCCGGAACAACTAGGAAGGACCTTAGACCTCTTGGTAGGCCAAATGAACAACTAGGATCATCCCTCTGTACTTCTTTTGATTAACTAATTTTATATTTGAGTCTTTGTCCAACTGAATTCCTGAGGACATGGGAGTATTAATTATCTTGGCTTTGTTCATTTCATACTTCTTCAATATGTTATTTATATATTTTGATTGATTCAGAAATGTTCCATCATTCATTTGTTTTATACTAAACCCCAAAAAGTAGGACAAGTCTCCCATCAAACTCATCTCAAACTCCTTACTCATTATTTTAGAAAATCATCACATAGCCTTTTATTAGAAGATCCAAAAAGTATATCATCGACATAGATCTGAACAATGAGTAAATCATCTCCTACTTACCTCTGGAATAGGGTGGTGGCTAACAAACTCTCTTTTTAGTAAGAATATGCTAAGCCTCTCATACCAAGCTCTAGGTGTCTGCTTTAATCCAGATAAGGCCTTTTTTAATTTGAAAACATGATTTGGACATTAGGAACTCTCAAAACCTAGGGGTTATTCTACAATCACATCCTCTTTTATTTCCCCATTTAATAAGGCACTCTTAACATCCATTTGAAAAAGCTTAAATCCATTACAACAGGCAAAGGCTAATAGCACTCTAATGGCTTCCAATCTAGCTACAGGGGCAAAAGTCTCCTCAAAATCTATCCATTCTATTTGGTTATACCACTTAGCCACTAATCTTGCCCTTATTCCTAACCACCACTCGAGAATTATTCACCTTATTCTTAAAGACCCACTTGGTTCCAACTACACTTTGTTCCTTAGGTTTTTCTACAAGCTCCCAAACATCATTCCTAACAAAATGGTTCAACTCCTCCTGCATGGCTAAGATCTAAAACTCATCAGAAAGGGCTTAGTTTATATTGGTCGGTTCAGTCATTGAGATAAAGGCAGAGTGGTTCACTTGCTTCCTAAGTCCATATATAGTCCTAACTCTATCAGAAGGATCTCCTAAGATCAGATCTTTAGGGTGACTCGAAGAGTATCTCCAATCTCTAGGCAAAGTGTGTGAAGGTTCAACCCTTTCCTCCAAATCTATATTTTCTACTCTTTGGGTAACCTCTCCTACTCCTTCAGTGTTTTGGTGCTCTACCCTCTTTTCTAAATTTTTTACTCCAATGGTAATCTCTCCAACATCATCATCATCCTCAACTCTTAAGCTTTCTAGGATCATACTCATCAAACACAACATAAGTAGTTTCCTCCACCACCAAAGTTTTCTTTATTAAATACCCTAAAAGACTTCCCAACACTAGAATATCCTAAGAACACTCCTTCATCAGATTTTAGGTCAAATTTTCCTAAGTGATACTTCCCATTATTGTGAATGAAAATATTACGACCAAAGACATGAATGTGGGAAAGATTGGGTGTCATACCCTTAAGGATCTTATAGGGTGTCTTATCCAATTTAGCTCTAACATTCACCCTATTCAACACATAACAATTTGTATTAACCGCTTCAGCCCAAATGTATTTTGGACGTGAATAATCAGCAATCATGGCTCTAGCGGCTTCCACTAAGGTCTGGTTCTTCTTTTTAGCTACCCCGTTCTACTGAGGCGTCCTAGGAGCTGAGAAGTTGTGGCTAATTCCCTTGTCCTCATAAAAATCTCCAAATCTCTTATTTTTAAACTCTCCCCCATGGTCACTATGGATATTCAAGATCTCATAACCTAGCTTTTTCTGAATCCAAGTGAAGAAGGCTCTGAACTCATCAAAATACTTATTTTTGTGTGACAGAAATCTAGTTCAATTGAACCTCGAGTAGTCATTGATAATTACAAAACCATAAACTTTCCCTCCCATGCTAGCAGTGCTAATGGGTCCAAACAAATCCATGTGAAGGACTTCTAAAGGTCTGGAGGTGCTAATGTCCTTAATGGAGTGAAAAATGGAGTGGACTTGCTTTCCTAATTGGCAGGCATCATAAAGGTGGTCTTTTGAAAACTAAAGCTTGGCAGGCATCCGCTTT